CTAGGTGTGGTTCCCCCTCCCACCCCCCCAAAAAAAATGGCTGGAGCAATGGAACAGCATATCAGGCACTTGTTTTGCATGTGTCCATCCTGGGTTCAATCCCTGGCACCACATATGGTCACCAGAGCACCACCAGGAGTGATCCCTTAGCATAGAGCCAGGAGCAAGTCCTGGGCACAATGAATGTGATCTAAGAAAAGATTTGTGTTTCCTTAGTATTGTGTTTGAGTTTTGTTTTGTTGTTTTTGACTACACCTGATCTTTCACGCTTATACTGTCAGGTCTTTGATGGATGCATCCGATGCCAGCATATGTGCATTGAAAGTACAGACAGTCATTTTTATTTTTCTTCATTTTAGCAGCCTAGTTCGGCCTTGAGATTTTATCAGCCTCTCCTTTCTCATCCTTCTTAATGCTGCCGTATTGGTAGCTCTTTTAGGGTCAGGGGAATGAGACCCATTGTAGTTACTGGTTTTGGCATATTGAATACGGCAGGATAGCTTGCCAGCCTCTGCCGTGCAGCGGGATACTCTCGGTAACTTGCTATGCTCTCCGAGAGGAATAGAGGCTTTTAGGGCGGCCTCTAATCGCCCTTGCAGGTGTTCCCATGGTTCAAACCATATTTGAACCCTATGAAATATGGTGCTGCAAACCTGCAAGATGGGTATTAAGTGTTGGCTGCGCGTTCCGGAAAGCATACTGGAGCGTGGTGGCAGCTGGGTAGTGGAGGTGATAATTACACCAAACATTAGCCACGCGGCACAAATGCTGGCTGACTTCGACCATGAGTGTGGAAAGGTTGGACTACAGCTGAATCTCACAAAGACAATGTTTATGAGAAACAGTTTCGTTCCTGACGTTCCATTTGCTCTTAACGGAATGAACATCTCTGAATGCAACAGTTATGTGTACCTAGGTCGAAAAGTCAACCTGACGAATGACCTGGCACCTGAGTTGTGCAGGAGGAAGAGTGGTTTGGAACGCCTTCAAGAGCGTCAGAGAAATAGCTAAGAGGACGAAGAACCTCCGGCTGCGGGCACATCTCTGCGATTCCACTATTCTTCCTGCATTAACATATGCCTCAGAGACCTGGGCCCTATGAAAACAGGATGAGAACGCTATTCCGGTCTCCCAAAGAGGAATCAAAAGAGCTATGCTTGGAGCAACCCACTTCATTCAAATGAGAGAAAGAATCCGGAGTTCTGACTTCTGTCGACGATCAAGAATCAGGGACGCTGTCTCATTTGCCAAGGTGTCAAAAATCAGATGGCTGGACACATAATGAGATTTGGAGATGACCGCTGGACTAGAGCCATTACCAACTGGATTCCACAGAACGTCAAAAGATCGCGTGGCCACCCATCTATATGAGATGGTCAGACTTCTTCGTCAAGACCCTGAATGATCAGTTTGAGGCTCTTCGTGTTCCTAGAACGAGCAGACACCTTTGAATTACACTAGCATGTGACAGGGACGAATGGAGACATTACTAGTGCCCGCTCGATCAAATAGATGAGTAACGGGATGTCAAGTGATCAAGTGGCTACACCTGACAGTGCTTAGGTGTAGCCAAGCACTTCCAGCTTTGTGCTTGCAGATTTCTCCTGATAGTGCTTGGGCGTTCATGTAGTATCAGCAATCACACCCAGACTTCTCTGCATACAAAGTTTGCACTTAGCCTGTTGAGCTGTCTCTCTGGCCCTTGAGTTCTTTATGTATTCTGGATATAAATCCTTTTTTCAGAAATATTTACTTTGAATATTTTTCTCATAGTGTGTTAAAAGGTAAAAGGTAAAGGCCCTCCCGTTGATCGTCGATTTGCTCGAGCGGGCCCAGTAACGTCTCCATTGGAGACTTTGTTGTTACTGTGTTTGGCATATCAAATATTTTCGGTAGCTTGCCGGGCTCTCCGAGAGGGGCGGAGGAATCGAACTCGGGTCGGCCATGTTGGCCGCTTGTAAGGCGAACGCCCTACCCGCTGTGCTATCGCTCCAGCCCCTGATCATAATATATGAATGATTTAATAAATCATTCATATATTAAAACTTTATTACAAGGGCCTTAATGTCTTGTGCATTTTTGTTATATGCAAATAAATTAGTGGGTTCAGGTTGTCAGTTCATAGTTAACTTTTTTTTTTCTTTTTTGGGTCACACCCTGCGATGCTCAGGGGTTACTCCTGGCTCTGCACTCAGGAATTACTCCTGGCGGTGCTCAGGGGACCATATGGGATGCTGGGATTCGAACCTGGGTCGGCTGAGTGCAAAGCAATCGCCCTACCTACTGTGCTATTGCTCCAGCCCCTCATAGTTAACTTTTTAAGTAAAGACATGCACAGCCATTAAAAATGATTGACTATCTAACACCACTGGGCCCAGCATCACTGTATTACTAGACCCAAGCATTGGATCATTTGGCACAGCCAGGGAACTGTCACTGGGAGTGGTTTTCATTCCCTCTCTGCTCTGCATGGGAGAGTTCCCTTTTCCCCCCAAAAAAGTAGAATGGTTGAATAGAGTAAAATTATTTTAGTTATTATAAGAGATTTTATTCTATTATTGTAAATAGAACAGCTGTACACCTTTAACTATTTTTATTGGCTTTCAATAAATAGGATAAAGAATTTTTGCTTTATCAGTCAGTATACAGTATGAAGTTTTTCTAGCATCTCCCAAAGATTAATAGTGTGTATATATTTCTTTAAATCTCTATTAGTGGATTGTAATATGTGGTGTTTCAGTTAATTGTAGTTTTCGTGTGGTTCTCAGTCACTCTTCCTAGTTATAATCATTTTGTTTTGGGGGGGTCACACCCAGTAATGCTAAAAGGTTACTCCTGGCTCTGCTTTCAGAAATTACTCCTGGCAATATTTGGGGGACCATATGGGGTGCCAGAGTTCAAGCCCAGGTTGATTGTGTGCAAGGCAAGCATCCTGCCACTGTACTGTCTTTTAATCGACACGTAAGGTTTGGTTTGGTTTTGTGGTTTGGTTTTGTTCAAGTTTTTACATGATCTTTTACCATTGATGCCTGCTTGTACCACCAGTGGCTCAAACTTGACTGTGGTTTAATTAAACACAAATTGCATCGCTGGCATTGTGTTAAGTGGTATTTAGTAATACCACCACCACCACCCCACCCCCTTGCCCCGGTGTTTGGGTTATATCCAGCTGTGCTCAAGACTTAATATCTGGTTCTGTGCTTAGGATCACTCCTGGTGGAGCTCATGGTACCACATGGGGTACTCGGGGTTGAACCTGGGTCAGCTGCATGCTTAGGAAAATAGGAAAACAAGGATGCCACTGAAATATATTTCTGAGTAACTCAGGTTACTCAAACAAAGAAAGTAACTTACTGATGGTGATAGTGAGTAACTGAGATTGTATTTATAGTGCTTGAAGAAGTGTGTCAGAAAATAAAATTGTTGAAGACAATTAGTCTTTTATTGAAAAGAGTTGTTCAAAGTCTTGACATTGAGATCAGCATTAATAGTGAATTTAAAAATAAGAAATGGTATTGAGTGATTCACTTGTCACTTGGTAAATCAAAAGAAGTTACTTATACTGCTTATTTGTATGTTTGAAGAATCTATGCCAAGAGAAGGGACCTAGAAACTGATCCCTATCAATAATCTGTAGTGAGCAACTAAAGTGGAAGAAGATTTTTAAATAAATTTTACAAATCCTAATTCAGTATGACTTGAAGTGGAATTTGCTAAGATGTGTTAATAGTTGGTGATGATTCATCAAGAAAGGGCAGGGAGATAATACGAGTTATGGAGCTCCTATCTAGCATGTGTGAGGCTCTGTGTTCCTTTTATCTTTGGCACTGTAAGCCCTTCTCCTCCCAGGATGTGCATACACATTTACACACTGAAGTTAAAAATTTAGAAGGATAAGCTTAACAAATTGGTTTTTTGGGAAACTTAATTGGTATCATATCAATGAAGTGTGTTGGCTGTTGCAGGCTCTTGCCCATGATATACCACACAAGGGGCTGACAGTGATTAGTGGTATTATGTGATTGGTGGTAAAGTAGCAGAGATTAAGTTATTTTGAAGGTTGGATTGGGGAGACCTAACTACAGAATTCCCAAGAGGTGACCCCTGTATAAGAATTATTTTTAATATAACAACTGCTTAATGCTATCAACAGCTTTGGATGTTAATTTTTGTGGTATTGTTAATTTTTCCTGTTTTTGTTCATTTTTGTTTTGGGTTGTATGAGATATTTCATTCTTTTGGATACTATTTTCTTTTTGGATGAATGACAGGCAGTGCAATTCTAAAACTTACTTCCTAAAGTCTCTTGGTTATGGTAGCCATCATTAACTGGGTAATCAGATAAAAGCAATAAATAGCAGATGTTAAGAAGTTACTTGTTATATTGTTTACTTATTTACTAAAACAGATTTTAATGCCATATTTTATTAAAATTCAGACTTATGCAGAAAAGTAATTGTCTATACATACACACCATGAGGGGGGTCACATGTTTTCCGTATAAGTCTGTATGTTATAGTATTTTTTCTGTTAATGGATTCACTGCTTTAGAATTAGATAACCTTTTTGTTTGTGGAAGGGCAAGTGGGTCCACTACTGATAATACTAAGGGGACCATTTGTGGTGCCAGAGATCCAATCTGGGTGGCCAAATACAAGGCAAGCAGCTTATCTCTTATACTTAAATAAATGTTTAAGTACTGATAGAGAAAACCTTTTAAGACTTGTTTTTTGTTTTGTTTTTTAAGAAAAAAATATAGTATATACTTATATTCTACAGAGAAGGTATCTTTTTTTCTTTTCAGAGTACCACAGGTGGTGGTTTTGAGATTCAGGAATTATTGTGCTAGTGAAACATACTGCTTTTTCAATGACACTTTGGTTGTTAGATAATTTTGTTACATGAAATAAATTTGTCAAAAATTATCATGTACTAATTATTCTCAGTAGCTTTTGCTTTTTTCCTTACCTTTTTTTTTTTTTCTTGTTTCTCTATAATAGTTTATGCCAGCGTGGCTTCATTCATGCAGATGAACCAAGGATTGGGATAGCAGTATAAAATTAGAATCAGACAGCTGACTGCCAAGCAGGATGCCATCAACTAACAGAGCAGGCAGCCTGAAGGATCCTGAAATTGCAGAGCTTTTCTTCAAAGAAGATCCAGAGAAGCTCTTCACAGATCTCAGAGAAATTGGCCATGGAAGCTTTGGAGCCGTATATTTTGTAAGTGTTAAAGACTTATTGTCCATGATTAGCATTTACTTAATAACCAGTACTGGCAGAGTTAAAAAAAATCATATAAGAGATACAGAGGTCACATAGTATATTTATAATTACTTGAATAGGTATGTGTATATAATATGAAAGTAGAAAAAAGTTTTTAAAGTTTTTTTTTTTTTAATGTAGGAGTACTGCTATTTATTCAGCCACTGATTAGCTGATTGAATTGTGCATGAACTCCACCTTACCTTTTTTTTTCATTTTTTATAATTTTATTTGTTGAATCATCGTGAGAGCAGTTACAAAGCTTTCGGGTCTAAGTCTCAGTCATACAATGAAACACCTGTACCTTCGCCAGTGCCCATTCTCCACCACCAAAAACCCCAGTATACCCCCATTCCACACCCTCCCCCTACCTGTGGGGCAGACGATGTCCACATTACTCTCTCTCTACTTTGAACACATTCAATATTTCGACACCAGACCCACCATTATTATTTGAGATTTTACCCCAACACTCAGATCTGCTGAAAAGGCAAAAGTAGACAATTTGTGTTCTGTTGCTGGTTATGAATAACATATCATGTCGAGTGGCTGCAGTAGGGCCATGTGATTTTGAAATTCCGAAATTTTAACACTTAAATCTGGAGGGATTTCTGCCAAAAGCCACTGGGTTTCAAGATTTGCTCCTGAGTCTCTGGGATCATGGCCGTTGAGCAGCTTGATCAGGAGCCAGAGAGGCCGTTTGTGGGCAATGACTTGGGGTCTCGTTGTGGGGGGGGAGGACAGGCCCGGTTCCACCCCCATCCCGTGAGGCCCTGCGTGTCTCATCACTGGGGTCCCAAACCTGACTGTCCAGTGGCCTCTGGAGGATGACGGCCACTGAGCCGCCAAGGGGGAGCAGGCGGAGTGACAACACCCTTTACCCTCTTGGGTGGCCCGGAGACAGTAACCTTCTGCAGGGTCTGGACGCATTTCTGCCCAAAGCCACTGGGTTTTGAGATTTGTTTCTCAGTCTCTGGGATCAAGGCCGTTAAGCATCTTGATCAGGATGCCAGAGAGGCCGTTCGTGGGCGATGACTTGGAGTCTCGTTGGGGTAGGGAGGACAGGCCCGGTACCCCCTCCCCGCCCCCCCAATCCCATGAGGCCCAACAAGTTTCATCACTGCGGGCCCAAGCCTGACTGTCCAATGGCCTCTGGAGGATGACAGCCACTGAGCCACCAAGGAGGAGCAGGTGGAGTGACAATACCCTTTCCTCCCTGGGGTGACCTGGTGACAGTAACATATTGTGGGGTCCCGGACGCATTTCTACCAAAAGCCACTGGGTTTCGAGATTTGTTTCTTAGTATCTGGGATCATGGCCGTGAAGCAGCTTGATCTGGAGCCAAAGAGGCCGTTCGTGGGTGATGACTTGGGGTCTCATTGGGGTGGGGAGGACAGGACCGGCTCCACCCCCATCCCGTGAGGCCCTGCGTGTCTCATCACTGGGGTCCCAAACCTGACTGTCCAGTGGCCTCTGAAGGATGGTGGCCACTGGGCCGCCAGGGGGAACAGGCCAAGGCACGAAACCTATTCCCACCTGGGTTGGCCCAGCACCGGTAACCTTCTGCAGGGACCAGACGCTTTTCTGCCAGAAGCTGCTGGGTTTCGAGATTTGTTTCTGAGTCTCTGGGATCCTGGCCATTACGCAGTTCAATCAGGAACCAGAGAGGCCATGCCTCCAATTAGATAGCTGAGCCGCAGGTGGTTTGTGGATGTGTCTCCCACATACCTAACTTTTGGCCGTTTACTTTCTTGGTAAACTTTGCCCCAAGTTTTTGGGGCCTGGCCAAAGGCACAGCAGCAGTTTTGGAGTATCTGGAAGTCTGAAGGCACCATCAGGCTGCTGATGCACTCGCCTCACAGGTACAGATTGACCTGCTGGCGACACCATATCCCCGTTTTTAAAGTTTTTAAAAAAGAGAAATAGTAGATTGTTTTTATCAACTTGGATTATTGAGAAAATGAATTATTACTTTGTTGTAAGTTACAGATATTTTTAGCACACAGCTCTCTAGGAGACTTGGGAAGTGAAATATTATAGAATTAAATCTTGCAGAATGATGAATTGTAAAAGTCCCATACAAGTCAAATTTTATTGTTATGGAAATCAAGAGTAGTTATTTTTTAGCAATTTGACACCTGTTACAACATAAATGGCCTGCAGAAACACACATACTAAATGATAGAAGCTTTACTTGAATATACAAATTTTTCATTTATATACTAGTCAAAGAAGATAATGGGTTATAGTACCTAAGTAGAGGGCATTATGAGTTACTGGTAATGGACATTTTCTGTCCCCCCCACCCCCGTTAGTTGGATTTTTATATCCCTAAGACCAAAGGTTTTTTCTTGTAAAAATATTTTATGCCATAAAAGTAATCAAAATTTAAAAAAAATTAAAAAGTAATCAATTGTGAGGTTAATTTCAAGTGTATAGTTCGTGTTATTAATTGCTTATAATGTTATATGACTTTAATGACTATTTTTAATATTTATTACTGGGGTCAGAGAGATAGTACAGCGGATAAGTGCTTGCCTTGCATGCAGCTGGTGCAGGTTCAATCCCCACCACCCCATATACTCCTCCAGGAGTATAGTAATTCCTGTGTGTAGAATCAGGTATGACCCCTGAGCACAGCTGGGTGTAACCCTAAAACAAAACAAATCTGGGGCTGGAGCAGTAGTGCAGCGGGTAGGCCGTTTGCCTTGCATGAAGCTAACTCAGGTTGGTTGCCCAGCATCCTAAATTTGCCCCCCAGCACAGCCAGGGGTACAGAGTCAGGCATTAGCCTGAGCACTAAAAGGTAAAGGTGAAAAGGTAAAGGCCCTCCCGTTGATCATCGATTTGCTCGAGCGGGCCCAGTAACGTCTCCATTGGAGACTTTGTTGTTACTGTGTCTGGCATATCGAATACTCTTGGTAGCTTGCCGGGCTCTCCGAGAGGGGCGGAGGAATCGAACTCGGGTCGGCCATGTTGGCCACTTGTAAGGCAAACGCCCTACCGCTGTGCTAAACAACAACAAAATTTTAGAAAAAGAAAAGTCATTCAGAAACAACTTCATGAACAGACCGTTACTTAGAGAATTCATAGGGCTGGAATCCTAGTACAGCAGGTAGGGTGTTTGCCTTGCACATGAAAGAAGGAAGGGAGCGATTCCTCCTCTCCTCACTAAATTGTATATTGGAAAGGTTTATCTATTTCATATTTGAAAATGTATTAGCATAGAATTATTAATACAACTTTAAAAATGTATATACTTTTAAAAAGAAAAAGTTTTTGAAAAAATTATCAACTTACTGATTTGCAGTTTAGTGGAATTTCAGTTTAGCTTTATTTATCTATATGTAGATAGCACCACTTCCACAATAAAGTTTTTAAAAAGATGTGTGTGGGGCTGTAGCAATAGCACAGTGGTTAGGGCGTTTGCCTTGCATGACCGACCCGAGTTCAGTTCCCAGCATCCCATATGGTCCCCTGAGCACCGGCAGGGGTAATACCTGAGTGCAGAGCCAGGAGTAGCCCCTGTGCATCGTCGGGTGTGACCCAAAAAGCCCCTCCCCCCAAAAAAGTGTGAATATGTGGAATATAAAGAAACACAATAAGGGAACAACTTAAATGGCCAAAGTCATTGTAACTAGAGAATTTTTTTTCTATAGGACTGAGTTTACATTGAGTGGGCCCTTGTGACACTGATGCAGGGAAATCATCACTCTGGTAGTGAGTGTGGTGTTGGCCTGAAAAGTATAATTAATAGGGCCGGAGTGATAGTACAGTGGGTAGGGTTTTTGCCTTGCACACGGCCGACTGAAGTTCGATCCACAGCATTCCATATGGTTCCCCAAGCACTGCCAGGAGTAATTTCTAAGTGCAGAGCCAGGAGTAACCCTGAGCATCACTGGGTGTGACCAAAATGACCAAAAAAATTTTTTTAATAAAAGAAAAAGTATAATATTGAAGGGTGCGTGGGCTTGGGGAAAAAATATAGTATATTCTAGTGCCTCAATAAATATGGTTTAAAATACGTGTGCACACACGCACTTACGCGCGCACACACATACACACACGTACACACACACATTTTAAGGGCCAGAGAGCCCAAGGAGCTGAGTGTATGCTTTACATGCAATTGGCATGTAAGAGTACTACTTGGGTGTGATCCAAACTAAAAACATAATTTGTAAAGCCCCTGGTGGCTTCTAGCACCGCTGGGCCAAAACATGAACTTTCTGGCCTTTTTGGCCTGAATATTGCTAGGATTAGCCTAGCCCTCTGCTCCCATGAATAGTGCTTAAGAGGGAGTTAGTTCTCTTAAGCACTAAATTAAATGAAGTGAAAAAGAATATGTAGTTTAAGGGGATACATTGTGCAAGTAGGTAGAACATTGGCCTTCCATGTAGTCAATGTGGGTTCAATCCCCAGCATCCATCCAACATGGTCCCTCAGGCCCCACCAGGAGTGATTCTTAAGTGCAGAGCCAGGACTAAGCCCTGAGCACTGCTGGGTGTGGCCTAAAAAAATAAGCAAGTATAGCATACCACATAGCACTGTCCTCCTGTTGTTTATCGATTTGCTCAAGCGGGCACCAATAACATCTCACAACAAATTGTGAAACTTGTTGTTACTGTTTTTGGCATATTGAATACGTCACGGGTAGCTTGCCAGGCTTTGCCGTGCGGGTGAGATACTCTCAGTAGCTTGCCAGGCTCTCCGAGAGGGGCGGAGGAATCAAACTCAGGTCGGCGATGTTGGCTGCGTATAAGGCAAACGCCTTACCCACTGGGCTATCACTCCAGCCCAAGCAAGTATATGTAGCTTAAAAAGAACTACATATTTTGTCCACAAAGTCTAAAATATTTATAGCATCTTGACCTTATTAAAAAGTTTCCCTGCTTCTGACTTAATAGAGGGCATGATAGAAATTTACTGAGCTATACCAACTCAACTTTATGCTTGAC